GGATCCATACTAAAAAACAAATAAGTTCAACAAGCAAAAGAAATTCAAAATATGTAAAAATTAAAAAAAAAATTATATAAAAAATTATAAAACTAAACTAAAATTATTATATTTTAATAATTATTATATAATTAATAATAATATTTTTTTTTTAGCTTTTTAAAACTATTATAGTTCTAGAAACTATTAATAATAAATTGTATCAAATTCATTAATACTAAAAATATATAATAAAAAAAATGAAAAAATACAAATTCATTAATATTAAAATAAATATTAAATAAAATTAATAATAATGAAAAAACTATAACTATTTTGAAGTATCTAACAATAAATTATATTAAATGAAAATCGCAACATTCGCAAATGGCTGGTAATAGCAATATCGCAGGAGTGACAGTCTCTGAACAAGTCTAGGAGCTGAAGCTTGGCAAGAAAACAATTTTTCCCCTCCAATTATATGTAGGAGTAGCAAACGAACCTTTGATCTGAACATGTCGCGTAAATCACAAATGTCGTGTAAATTAAGAAACTTGTTCTGTATGAAAAATAATAATAGAATTCCAACAAAATTGTTTACAAATTACAAGCAATACAATAGTTTTATTTATAATATATGTTTCAATAATATATATATAAGTTATGTATATATATTTGATAAATAACTTCGGATTTCAAAGTTATTAAAAATACTGTTTCCACGTATTCCTATAGCGTGGCTTATCTGTATATTATAAATTAACGGTATTATTCAAGGACTAGGGGTAAATTAGTACGTATATCCATCAACAGATTTTTGATTTTCGGTGTATAACTAACTTAAGGCGCATCCAAATAGTATGCAAACACACAGCACACTCACATACACAGCATTCATTAAAAACGGTGATAGTGTGGACGCGTTTGTACACATCATATACGTGTGTATTTCGTCGGATTGTCGGTACATCAAAGAGAATTATAACTACTATTGGATGGGGTTTTCATTATTTTGATGTATTTACTGCGTTATTGTTCATGCAACTTATTTAATTCATGCACAACAAAAATCAAATACACCAAATACTATTATTATAAATCATTATATATATTTAATAATATAGGTTTATAATAATTATCGATTAATGTAAAAATAAATCGCTTCGAAAAATATTTTTATAAACATCAAACCTTTAAGTGGAAAAAAATAAATATTCATTGATTTATACCGTGTTGGGCAATAACATAGGTCATTCTCAATTAAGTTAGTAACTTATTATAAATGTTAGTGTCCAGGACTCTTATTTATACTAGGTTTAGGCTTTGACCTAAGAAGGGAATTAATGGATGTTTTCTAATATGGCATTGCCATGTACTTGTCGTTCCAAATTCCTCCTTGTCCTTTTGGTAACTATTATGATAGTATGATATAGCTATTGATGGTCGATATGTTCTACATAGTTTAGAATGTTATAAGTGTTGAATATAATTAATGTTTACGTGGAGATTACTACAACACCCTTAGGGGTTATTGTAATTATTTCTATCTGTATTCATATTGGTATTCATATGTGGTATGAGTGGACGAGGTGATAATGTAATTGCTTCACGTCTCTTTAGCGCACTCAGTAGTCCTGTACATAATAAATAATATCATGATGAAAAGAAAACTTACTGTGTTGTCAGATAACTGCATCGGACAAAATAAAAATAAAATTTTGTTATATTTTTGGATTTATTTGACGATTACGGACGAGTATGATGAGATTAACCATACATTTTTGGTCACTGGCCGTTAAATGATTTAATTTATCAAAAACACTAGATACTCTTTTCATTAGTGCTTATCTCGTTTGTGCCGGTTAAATTTGCCATTTATATGGCATATATCACCATCTAAATTTTTCTGAATAGAACATTATTTTTAAAATATAAAGGTAAAAAAATTCACGTAATTTAGATTATAAATAAAAATGTAATTTAAGTTTTTTTATCAACAATTTTTTGATAGAACAAAAAAAATTGAATAACTCAAAAACAAATTGTTGGCACTTATACCGTTATTGATTTCTTGTCTTCGTATACATATATTGTTAATCGTTATGTGTTATCCTGTATTTTTATTTTGTTCTATGTTTATGTTTGTTATGTTTGGTTTGTTGGTATTTTTTTTTCGTTTATAGTTTTCCGTTTGATTACGTTTAAAAATTTTAATCTTTATTTTCATGTATAACGTTATTATAACGTAAGCAAGACCTGACTTAAAATTTAAAAGACCATTTCACTAAAAAATAATATCTGTTTCCTATATTTTATCCAAATTTTGTTTTCATTTTTTAAAATTAGAACATCTATTTGTAAGCCTTAATCATGAATTAATGTATTGTAGTTGGTGCTTAATGCTCATATTGAGTGAATATTTTAGTGTAAAGTTTTAAGTAGGTACATTATTAAAATTTTCCTATATTTTAAAGTTATAATACAGTTCACATTTTATGCTCAGAAAAAACAATCTTAAATCTTTTATAGGTACTTTTCAGTTTTTGAAAATTCACTTATAATGAACATACACTTCCAGAGGCAGCCAATATCAGTTCCTATTTTTCATACAAATTCGTATTACACATTTTTTAATGTACAATGATTTGATACAGAACTAGGGTGACCATATTTATGAAAGAAAAAAACGGGACAAATATGTTCTCAAAAAAAAGACAACATTTTTTTTAACTTCAATATTATATGCAATAAAAATAATTTTTAATTAGTTTGATATTTTAATTAAAAATTGATTTGCATTCTATTTTTGCTGTGAGATTGAAAAAAAATTACTTAAAATATTTTTTATTTTTATTGAGTTGATTATTTAGAATTATTTGAGTCGATTGTTCATAATTTTCTTCATTACATTCTTTGACATTATATATTTTTGATGAACTGATTGCATTTAATAGTTTTGGTTGTGTTAACAATAAATCATAAAAATCATTACAGGAATATTTTTTTAAATTATTTTTAAGAATTATTATTGCTTTGACAATTGGTACGAGAAAACTATTTTTTTCGTTCGTCCATATAATATTTGTGATTGATAATATTATTTCTATTATTGCATAAGTTAATCTGCAAAGGTACAGTAAACGTATATTTCTTTTTAGGCATTTAAAAAAAACAATACAAGTGATAACACTAACGACTCACAACAATGTTCGATTTTTCGATTAATATACCTAATATACCTATTATACCGAATATCGTTGATTATAAATAGTACTTTACATTGGTAAACTATTCGTATTTAATATCGATTTCTTTAGAAGTATCACACATGAGTTCGTAGTACATACATATATACTATATGACATGTCTTATTTTTTTTTCTTTGCTCTCGGTTTACAATTTTTATAGAAGTAACGTGATTAAAACGGGTCCCTATTCTAAAAACGGGACAAAAAGCGTCCCATTCAAAGTTTATCGGGACAACGGGACATAATGATAAAAAAGGGACAATCCCGTTTTAAACGGGACGTATGGTCACCCTATACAGAACCGACATTTACTAATAGTTTAATATCTAATTATCAAACAATAAATAAAATATTTACCTAACTAATATCATATTATAAACACAATAATATATATATATATATATATATACATTTTAATATGATTCAAAAGCATAATTTTATTTCCATATCAACAAATAAATAATAAATTGTTTAAATTATTACTAAGCTTACAGTTTACAAGTACCGATTACTGTTGACGGTTTGTAGTTAAATTTTTATTTTTTCTCATTTATTTACAATTATAATAAAATAATTTCAATATTTAAATAACTGTTTTTCTATGCTATATTTCAAATACGTAAAAATATTACTTAATTTATGAGCAATATTGATTGTAGATGAATGATTATAATTTGCATCTTCACAGTCATTACTAACATTTATTTGTATAGATTCCATTGATTCTTTAACACATGATTTGATAGCATCTAAGTACAGTACAATAATAATAACTATTGTTACAATAATTTATCATTATTTAACTAAAAAGAGAATTAAAATTAATGTTGTGCAACCAACAAATATATTCTTTTTTTAAATCAAACAATTGAATTTATCACAAGATTATCTAATACAAAAATTAATTAATAATTAACTATAAAAAATTATAGATCATTAAAAGTTTTTCAGTTGGCTAACAATATTTTTGATACCTAAACCAATGACCACAAGATTTTTGATAAATAAATTTTGCTATTTGTTTATGGTATTTAGACCATTTTTTGTCTAAATCTAGGGTAACTAAAGTATTAAAAATACTAAATATATTTAGAGTTATAATATAAATATTTACATCAACGTAATGTACTTTTTTTTATTCATCCCAGTTCTTTTCTCCTTCTGATAATGCGTTTAATTCAACAGTGATACTTAATCATTTTTGTTAAAAAATTGTATGAGTTAAGAATTTTGGAAAACTTGCTCAAATATAATTACAAATCATTGACTATAAGGTCAATCAGGTATCTCATTTGATTTTGAGTTGATTTTTATTAAGATTCTTTAATTCAAAAATTTACCGCCGGGTTAGGTTAGGTCACCAATTATCACATTAGAAACAAGCAAATTGTAAAGTTTTTACATTTTACAATGTTTAGAACATACAAATGAACCCCTCTAGATATCCAAATGAGTAAGCAAATCTGTTTCCTTCATACTCCGTTCTTTCATTTTTGTCTTATCATAATTTTTTATTGTTGTAGTCAAGATTTGGTTTTCTAATCAATTTTGTAGATGGAAGAAGTGTCATATGGAACAAAATATTATTGGAAGAAAGTACTTTGGAACAAATATACTGTGGAAAAAAATCCATTGGAATAAAAAGATTTGGAATAAAAGTATATTGGAACAAATGTGTCATGGAATAAAAGGTTAGTTCACTTTGAAACAACAATACTGTGGAACAAATATTTTGTAGAACAAAATGTAATGATCCTTTAATATCAAGTATAATCGGCAATGATAAACCATTAACTGATAAAACCTAAAAGAATTTAACATAATTAATTACCTAAGTTTGAAAAAGGTTTCTTCAATATGAGTTTCTCAGTGAAACATTTGTGCAGATCGTTTTCTTCATCTTCTGTAAGAAATGGGAAGAGAAATTTCAAAAATTTCATAATCTACAACCGAGGAACAAATCATTTCAAAAAACAGCAAGAAGAAAATCCAAATAAAGAATTTCAAGTTGCTGGTAATAATAATCTTATGATATTAATTTGTTTATGTTAAATAATTTGTCAATACTGTGTACTCAGATTATGGTGTAAGAGAAACTACTGTTAAAATTGGCCGTAAGTATGTGACTGTCCAAGAAAAAATTCCTGATATTATTGTTCCAGATTTAGAAGATTTCAATGTGAGTATTGCAAGTCTCAAAGTAATCAGTCAGTATAATGAAAAATCGTATTTTAATTACAGTTGAAACCATACGTATCATACAGAGTTCCAGAGGTAAATCAGTCTGAGTTCACAGCAAAAGATTTATTTAATGTGGTTTATCGCAGTAAGATTATTAATGATTTTAATAAAAACAAACTGAAAGAAAATGGCGAACCTTTAGAACCTAATGAAGAAGAATCTTTAACACCTGAACAAGCTAAAGCTCGAGCTAGGCAAACAGGCTGCGATTTGTTTTCAGAAGGCAGATAAAAGTCGAATACCTAATTTGATTGATAGCTTTTTTTTTTAAATATTGTTTTTAAATTATTAAATATTTAGTTTTAATTGCTGTGTTATTTTCAATATATTTCTATGATTTCACCTGAAACTAATTTGTTTTTTTTTCTCTTTTTGCTTGGCTTATTGAATTTTTAGATTAAAATCATAAATGATTCAACTTTTATGAGAATCAATGCCGGATTACCTATTAAGCGGAGTAGGCGCCCGCCTTAGGCCTCACTCATTTAAGGGGCCCTGTGAAAACGGAAAATTATATTTTATTTTATTTAATAATACATGTATTTTATTTATGAATTTATGGGACATAAGTCATTATGAAATATAATATATATATTTGGTTGTAGACGTTATAGGAATTAATAATAATACAATTATTTTGAAAAAAAATAGAAATAATATAATAATTTATTGATTTTTCTTGTATATAAAAAAACTCAATAAACGCGATTTTGTTTCTAAAAATAATAGTTGGTTATTATTAAAGCTGTTTATTTTAATTACTGCATAGTAATGTTAAAAATGTATGTAAACAATTATTTTGTAGGGCCCAACATTTGAATTGCCTAGGGGCCCACAAATGTTTAATCTGGCACTGATGACAATATAAATAGAAAACTTGTCCCTATAAAAACTGTACAGTACAAAAATTATTTTTAAATATATTTATTTAAAAAAAAAAAAAACAGAAGTATTAATGATTAAAAATATATTTTATCAACAAATAGTAAAATTTTGATTTAATTGAAATGTGTTTACATGGAATAATAATAGCATTCAACAAGTACTTCATCAAATCGCTATTTATTATCACAGAATGAAATAAACCATCAGTGTATTCTATGATTCAATGTTGCAATTAAATCCATGTAGGTACCTATAATACATTTTTTAATAAATATAAGAAGTTTTATAATCAACTTCATCATTTGAAAAATAAATTTTTTTAAAGGGAACACTTTGGTAGCTTGTATACGATTATTAGTCTTGTCATCATTTAATCTTGTCATTATTTAAATTTGATTTTTTTTTTCATATGTCATTTGAATTTGATATAAGGTTTCAAATATACATAATTTTTAGCATAAAAATCAAAATATATGACATTGGTTGCCTTTGGTGAAAAAAAACAACAGGTAAACTTATTCCAAGAACTCTGAATAAAATAAATACATACATGATGATTTTCAAATAGGTAATTGAAGTACCACAAATAATTAATGACAAATTGACTTTACATAAGATGATATATATTTCACATAAGTTATATAAGTTAAAATTATTATAAAGTATTTTAGTTCAAATAATAATAGAGAGGGATGTGGGTGGTAATGACACTTTGTCCCATAAGGTTAATTTTAATCAAAATAAATAGCAACCCCAACAATATGACCCAAATTGCGCCAGTGTGCTCAAAGTAGCAATGATAATCGTAAGTTTATAAATACCTATGTTATAAAGTATAAAGTATGTATATGAACATAAGCGTGCGCACGGAGTATACTTTACATTATATTTTCAATCTAAATGTGCCTACGTATGAAAGTCTTTTTTGCGAGAAGTTTTTAGTGATGCTCATGAGATGGCTAATGGATATAAAACGGGGAGGTTACATTTGAGATCTAAACAGAATATCACATAGTAGTGGAAGTCACACTATTGCACACCAGGTAGTCAGGGTAGACACTTGACTACTCTGTGAACCTTCCCTCCCTCACCAAAATATTCAACATTATCGCAATTATAAATAACCATATTATGTTCAACCACTTCAAAACGTTCGTAAACAGTAAATACGTTTATAAGAATATTGAAAAAATATAATTATTAAGTTTAATGAAGTACCCCATCAAAATTTATTGTTAATAAATATATATTAAATATAAATGTGTAATGTATAACTACCCTGCCGGTAATGTCTGCGCACGCTTATATATATGAACATAACATGTGTATACCTACTACCAGTGGCGTATTTACGGGGGGGGGGGGGGGCCAGGGGTACTGAACCCCCCCAGAACCTCTCCGAAAAATAAAAAATTAACAAAAATTCTTACATATTTGCAGAATTGGCTATGTTAAACATTCACAGGGAAGTTGAGATTATTGTTGATGAAGTGATAGAGGAGTTGGCCAAAAAATCGAGGCAACTGGAATTTATTTTATAACAATACTTTATAATATATAATGCTAAATACAATATATAGGTACACACACACATATATATATATATAATATTACATAAGACTATACGATTACCTATTACATTATATATTTAGTTCAACTTCCTCCAAAAACTACATAAGGACGTAACTATTACAATATAATATATAGTTTATACTAATTATGTATAAACTGTGGACCCCAGAAAAAATTGAAAATACGCCACTGCCTACTACATATTATGTATTTGGTATATTCAAAGATTATCTAAATTACCTTATTACATATAGACAAAGACGTTCGGAGGAGATTTACATTGGGGGGCTATTGCCTCTCCTGAGATTTTTCATGGGAATATCAAATAAGAAGTTTTTATGTATAAAGCCCTGATTCATATCGAGTAATCAACAATAATTCTCCCTCCTCCTCCCGAGCTATATTTTGCTGGCGTTTTTATCCATAAGCAAGTAGTATCTTCTTACCTCTATACTAATATATTTATATTTATAAATATTTGCTTCAAATTGTTTCAAAATTACATCAAGGTATATTTTATGCTGATTATATCGAATATGGATGCCATAATCTAATTCAAATTATTGTATAAAACTCTAAAATTGTTGTAAAGTATTGAAACGAAAGTATTTAATTACTTTTTTACATTGAATTTAATTAAATGCATTTTTTCGATGAAACCCAAAAACGCAAATTTATTTTGCGCTTATGTACCTTCGTAGTGGGATAAAAGCACGAAAATAAATATTGCACCCGTTTTACACTATAAATTTAATTTTGAGATTATTAATAATTACTACATATCGTAATGAAACATTTTGTCATGTAGATGAAGAATCAAAAATTGTAATTTTCATAACCAAAAGTAATTTAGAATATATAGCCAATAATAGTTATACTATTTTAGGCGATGGCACATTTTATGTTTGTCCTGCTTATTTTGAGCAACTTCATACAGTTCATGTTTTACATAAATAAATGTACGTTCAAGTGGTGTATTGTATGTTGCCATCCAAAACAACTGATATTTATGCCAAAATGTGTCATTTAATTAAAACATTATGTGCTAAAGAATTAAAACCTCAAAATATACTTATGGATTTTGAATTATCTACTCATAATGGCGTTTTGCGTATTTTTCCAAATGCTCAAATTAAATGTTATCACTTTCACCTAGGAGAAGCTTGGTACAAACAAATTGGAAAATTGGGACTTAAAATTGAATATGACAAAAACGAATCAGAAATTTCAAATTGGTTAAAGTATTTTTTTGGATTAGCTTTTTTACCTTCCACTGAAAAATCTGATGCGTTTTATGAGCTATTTTCTATTGCTCCTGACAATGATATCAGCGTATCAGCGTTTTCTGATTATATTTTAGCAAATTTTATTGAAAATGACAGCAGATATCCACCGCACCTCAAAGCTGAGCCACCTTTAAACGAGCCAAGGATTACTAATGGTTCAGAATCATACCACCATCATTTGAAAGATCAATTTTATATTTATAATTTTATCGAAGTGCTTAAACAACCGAAGTTATAAAGGCCGAAGTTTACTTAAAAATACAATCAAATGGACGAAAAACCACAAAACGCAGCTCTAAAGTCAACTCCAATATAAATGCATGGAACATGTATACTAAAAAAAGATTTGCAGATTAGACTATTTGAAAACTTAAATTTTCAAATTGAATATTAATATTTATTTAAGGTACTCAATATTAATAACAATAATAATATATAATAATATATAATATTATACCTACTACTAATATATAATTTAAATTTCAAATTTGTTAATTAATTATATAATCATTAAAAGCTTAATAACTATATGATTTTAATAAAATACACTTCCTTTTTGTAAAATTGATTTTCACTTATGGGTTGTTAAAAAAGTAAGTTAAAAAGTTACCTATACTTTAAGTACAACGCAAAAATATTATAATCTTAAATAAATACTTAACTAGTTCAACCACCAATAGATCTTTATTTTTTTTTCATTTAAAATAAAATGAAATTTATAATCTATACATTTTTTGCATATTAAGCAAATTTTCTGAAATAATATAACAATAAAAAAAAATAAAACTAACTGGAACAAGTGATAAAGGAAGCCACCCGATAATAGGACCCTAATATATTTGGTTTTTAATTAAACGGCTATATTAAATGCTGTATTTGAATATTTTAGTATTTTATTATTTATGGCCATTTGTGTTTTTTTAATTGCTTTTTAAAATAAACTCTTTCACCAATTCAGTTATCTATTCATATTCAATTAGATATAATGTAAATTAAAAAGAAAGTATAAAATAAGAATAAAATCATTAGTATTCTAATTTATGCAATTACCCAAATAGTAAAAAATAAATAAAATTATTGCATTAACTTCTAAGATATTTTTAGACGCAAAAAATTAATTAAAAAAGGAAATTTTAACTAAATTAAATTGATACATATTTACTTTTAATTAATAATTATAAGCTTTAATTTAAATGCAAAATGATTATTAGAAAATGCTAAATAATTTTAATTTATTTAATGTGATCATTACTTTTTAAATTAATATTACATGATGAAATTAAATACCTATTTACAAAAATGTTTATATTGCTTATCAGTTATCTAAGTTTATTGTAAGGAAAAAATGATTATGTTACATTTTATTAGATGACTAAATTCTAAAAAAATGTATCAATATAAGAAGGTTATAATTTAAAATGTATAAATACTATAATTTGATTTAAATAATAATTGTTTTGTTGTTCACTCGAAAAAAAAATATTTTACCAACGAAAATTATATTATGAACGGAAGAAAGTGTATCAAGGTAACGTCAATGGCAAAAAAATGATTTTCTTAATTTTTAATCTATATCACATCAA